GCATGGATCATGATCAGACTGCGCAGGCTGGTCTGGATCCATGCTGGTCGCAAACCCATTATGTTGGTTTTGTCGTGACGCGGCTCATTTATAAAAAAAACAACGACAATGCAGTTGCCGTATCTTCTGTTCCTTTTTCAGTGTTTCCAGTGTGGTTCTAGTTTGCTGATCACTTATAAATATTTTTTACATAAATACTTATTCTGCTGTTCTTTTTGTAGATTTGAATAAGGAATCAGGAAATAGTTCCCTATTCCTTATTCGATAAAGGAATAAGGAACTTCCTCCTTATTTCTTATTCGAAAAGGGATTTAAGAATAAGGAATAGGGAACTAACTTTATATTCATACATATAACACGTATATTTACGAATATAGGCAGTTTCATAAAAAATATACAAACTATCTGCATTAAATCAAAGTACAATTGTGGACAATTTTAAAAAAAACACCAATATTTGAATTTGTCACATGTTTATTTCAAGGAAATAACGTTAAATGATTTAAAATCACAATAAAATCCACGTGACCGTATGTGACAATGATATGTCCTTATACATGTATAAACATAGGTAGACCAGAGCGTGTTAAAACTCGTGACTTTGTTTCTGTAAGAAAGGCTGATTAAAACTAACTTAAAATCTGTACCGAAAAGGAATGCCTGAAGTTCATTTCATCCGACTTTCAATACCTTGAAATTAAATAAGAGTCAACCGACACTATATGTTAGACCTAAAAATATAAACAAGAGGCCCAAAATGGCCACAGATCGCTCACCTGACCCATCGAATTCATCCGAACAATTACCTAGACACGCATTCTGACCAAGTTTTCATGACAGGTGAGTCAAAAATGTGACAACAAGCGTGTAAACAAGGATTATCCATATTTGAGCACTGTGACCTAGTTTTTAACCCAAGGCAACCCATATATGAACCTGACATAGAAATCATCAAAACAAAATTTCAGACCAATTTCCAGGATACTTGGATGAAAAGAGTAGCCACTAGAGTGTTAACAAGATTTTTCTATGTTAAGCTCCCGTGACCTAGTTTTTCATCCAAGATGACCCATGTTTGAACTCATCCGAGCATTTACCTAAACAAGCATCCTGACCAAGTTGATGATGATTGAGTCAAAAATGTGACCACTAGAGTGTTATCAAGGTTTTTCTATTTTTAGCAACTGTGACCTAGTTTTTCATCCAAGATGACCCATGTTCCAACTCATCCAAGCTATTACCTAGATAAGCATCCTGACAAAGTTTGATGATGATTGAGTCAAAATGTGACCGCTAGAGTTTTAACGAACAAGTGTGGACAGACGACGGACGACAGACGACGGACATTTAACGATCCCTAAGCTAGCTCAGGTGAGCTAAAAAAAAGAGAGGGGAAAATCATATTTTTACCCATGTAACTAGCTACCTGTACATAACCATGTTAAGTGATTACGCACATGAAAGAAGATGATTGCTCACATGTATTTAGTTCAGTGTACACATATATTAAGTTGGCTGCACACATATATTCAGTAAACTGAAGACTTATATAAGGATGACTGCATACATGTATGAAGATGACTGCACACATGTATGAAGATAACTGTACACTTGTATGAAAATGTCTGTATTTAGTGGACTTTACACATGTTTTAAGTTGAGAATGCATTTGTATGAAGATGCCAGCACACATGTATGAAGGTGATTGCTCACATGTATTTTGTAGTATTAAGTTTACTACACACATGTATCAAGTTAACTGCAGAATTATATAAAAATGACTGCAAAAATGTATAAAAATGACTTCACACATGTATTTAGTTGACTGCACAACTGCATTAAAATGCCTGTGCACTTGTATCGAGATGACTGCACACATGTATAAAGTTGACTGCACACATGTATAAAGTTGACTGCACACTTATTTAAGTTGACTGCACACATAAATTTAATTGATAGCGCACGTGTATTAAGTTGACTTTGCACTTCTATATAAAGTTAACAGCATACATGGTTTAGTTCACTGCACACATGTGTTTAATTGACTGCACACATTTATGAAGATGATTGCACAATGCAAACATGTATAAAATGACTGCACACATTATTTTTTTTTATTTAGTTGACTGCACGCTTGTATGAAGATGACAACACACAGGTTATTAAATTGACTGCGCATATGTATTAATATGGAACGCCGTGACTGTCTTATGCTATCAATATTTTTGCTATCTTCTGAAATGATGATATTATTTTGTCATTTAAGCATATTAACATGTGCAATTTACATCATATCTTGTCTAAAGACAATGCTGACTTGTCCAAACAGCATGTTAACTTGTCAAATAATCATTATGACATGTGCAAACAACATGTTAACTTGTCAAAGTATCGTGATGACTTGTGCAAACGACATGTTAACTTGTCAAAATAACATGATGACTTGTGCAAACGACATGTTAACTTGTCAAAATGTCATGATGACATGTGCAAACAGCATGTTAACTTGTCGAATTATCGTGATGACATGCTCATAACACCTTAACAAGTTAACATGTGTTTTGCACAAGTCATCACGATTCTTTGACAAATTAACATGGCATTTGCACAAGTCATCATGATAATTTGACAAGATAACATGGCATTTGCACAAGTCATCACGATACCTTGACAAGTTAACATGCTGTTTGCACTTGTCATCATGACATTTTGACAAGTTAACATGTCGCTTTCACAAGTCACCATGATACTTGGACAAGTTAGCATGTTGTTTGCACATGTTATCACGATGGTTTGACAAGTTAACATACTGTTTGCACATGTCATCATGAAATTTTGACAAGTTAACATTGCATTTGCACAAGTCATCATTACACTTGGACAAGTTAACATGTCGTTTGCACAAGACATCATGATACTTGGACAAGTTAACATGCTGTATGCACATGTCATAACGATAATTTGACAAGTTAACATGCTGTTTACACATGTCATCATGTAAATTTGACATGTTAGTATGGTATTTGCACAAGTTATCATAATACTTTGACAAGTTAACAGTACGTTTTGACATGTCAGCATGATGCAAGATAACATGTCATTTGCACAAGTCATCACGATTCTTTGACAAGTTCACATGTTGTCTTCACAAGTCATCATGGTAATTTGACATGTTAATATGCTGTTTGCACAAGTCATCATGATACTTTGACAAGTTAACATGCTGTTTGCACATGTCATCACGATAATTCGACAAGTTAACATGTCGTTTGCACAAGTCATCATTATACTTTGACAAGTTAACATGGCGTTTGCACAAGTCATCATGACACTTTGACAAGTTAACATGCTGTTTGCACATGTCATCACAATAATTCGACAAGTTAACATGTCGTTTGCACAAGTCATCATTACATTTTGACAAGTTACCATGTCATTTGCACAAGTCATCATTATACTTTGACAAGTTAACATGCTGTTTGCACAAGTCATCATGATACTTTGACAAGTTAACATGCTGTTTGCACATGTCATCACGATAATTCGACAAGTTAACATGTCGTTTGCACAAGTCATCATTATACTTTGACAAGTTAACATGGCATTTGCACAAGTCACCATGACACTTTGACAAGTTAACATGCTGTTTGCACATGTCATCACAATAATTCGGCAGGTTAACATGTCGTTTGCACAAGTCATCATTACATTTTGACAAGTTACCATGTCATTTGCACAAGTCATCATTATACTTTGACAAGTTAACATGCTGTTTGCACAAGTCATCACGATACTTTGACAAGTTATGATGTTGTCTGCACATGTCATCATAATCATTTGACAAGTTAAAATGTTAGTTGTACAAGACAGCATGTTCCTTTGACAAGACATGATGTAAATTGCACATGTTAACACGCTCAAACGACAAAATAATATCATCGTTTCACAAAATAACAAAAACTTTGATTACATAAGACAGTCACGGCGTTCCATATATTAATGTGACTGCACACATTTATTACGTTTACTGCACACATGTTTAAATTAAATGCAAACCTGTTTTATGTTGACTGGATAGATGTGTTTAGCTTAACTTCGCACTAATTTTAAGTTTTCTGTGCTCTTGTTTGAAATTGACTTCATGCGACAGCAAACCAGTATTTAGACCATTTTTATAAGCCCAAACACAAACGCTATGCTAAAACATGATATATATCATTTTCGATTTATTGTATCAAATAATATATCTTTGAACACGTTGCGTGCATAGAATGTAACGCTAGAAAAAACCCATACACTTGTTTGAAAATGTTTTATATGAGCAGAACTCAAACCAACCTGGCAGAATGTTAGCTTGCTTCCTCTCCAAAACCTTTGATGTAAAAAGAACAGCAAACAGTGTCATATGAAACACACGTGCACGTCGCACGCACATACAAACAACAACAATATATGCTATAAAACAACCCCCAAAACAATGCGTTTTTTAAAGGATCACCTGTATTAATACAAATAATCAATTATGTTGAATAGGTAAAAATGTAAAACAACAACAACAATAAAAACTATGGCAAAGAAATTATATAGAATAATTGTGAAAAATATTAACAAACAAAGTTTTATCTGATGTTTTATCAGTCTAACTTTCATCGCACACACAATGGTGATAATAAACCCTTTCCCTTATTTTTCTCTAAATAAAAGTTTTAAATACCATTTTAGGGCATTAATTACTATGGTACAACCATAATAAGTCCATGAGATTCGAAAAACGATGTTTAACATGACGTTGTCAACCAAAGCGTGTACCACGCCCAGGACTCACTCTTGCCAATTAAATTTGGAGATTAAACAATTTACCATCCAAGTTAAGCTGAAGAACTCAAGCCTCACTGACAGTTTCAAACGCATGAGATAGAGTGTGTAAGAGGAGAAGAACCTCTTTAATGCAACAATAAGAACTGATTTACAAGTATTTATTGACTTGTTTACATATTTGCAGTGTTTGTACACAATAATTTTTTTGAAATTTGTCAATCTACATGTATTTCACTAGTGATAAGTTGGTGTGGTCGTCCCTATGGCTCCGACAGTGAAGGTTTCCGACATTTTCATAGAATACTGATAAAGTCTGAATGTTACATATACATCATACGCCCTCGTGTTTATCTAAATATTTCATAATTGTTTAATAATAAATGGCAGGTCACATGTATGGCACGGCGCACCGAATAAAACACGAGGAGTAAATAGTATAAAAGCTCTTTTGAATGAGTTATTCATCACTTCAAAATTCTTCACAAGGTAAATCAAGTCGACAAATATGAAAGTTGTTTGTGTTGTTTTAATGTGTATTGCTAGTGTAATCTGCCGACAGACGACAGTTGAACGCCTGATAAGCGATGGGCGATTTAAGACTCTTGTACACTATGTCACAAAAGCCAATCTTACCGGCACGTTAAACAGCAGCGAGTTTACAATCTTCGCACCTACCGACACTGCGTTCCATAAGCTTGACTCGAATATTAAAGCTGCGCTCGATCACGACAATGCAATCCTTACAGACGCTTTATTGTACCACGTCATATCCGGAAGAGTACCTAGTTTAGCTGCATCAAACGAGGCTAAGTTAACGATGGCTAACAACAAAGTTGCACGCATCAACGTTTACCTTCACAATAGTAAGGTAACCATCCAAGGCTGCGTTATTTCTCAGTTAGATTTAACGGCAAGCAACGGTATTATCCACGTTCTTGACAACGTAATGTTGGCACCAACAGGCAACATTGTTGACTATGTCGCTGGTCATACTAAATTTTCCACTCTCTTATCACTTGTTCAACAAGCAGGTATTGCTGATACGCTGAAAATGGACGGTCTTACTGTTTTTGCACCGACAAATGGAGCCTTTTCTAAAATTCCAGTAGACACTACATTATATATGATATTCAAAAAAACGAACGGACAAACTTTGTCAGTTCTACATACCATTTGTTAAATGCACACAATATCGGCGGATATAGGCAAAGGAACATTTCTAGCAACTATAAAACCCTAAAGACCATCTTGTCCTCATTTCCATGCAAGCATTGACTCACGAGACAATGGCCTCGTTGAAACAAACAACTATTTCAGACAACGAATGTGATTATTCCACTCGTGGACACTTCTCTTTTCCGCAAGATCCAGTTTTGTAGGACTTAATTTATAAAGATCATTATAATCTACTCCAGAGAACTCTCTGTTATTATACATTTTTAAATAACATGTCTAATTTATTTTTTTATATACTATACAGCAATATATGATATCGTTAATAATAACATAAATTAGCATTAAACAAGTCTAAGAGTATCATCAAATATCTACAAATAGAATCAAGTGTAGCAAAATCACACATAAAAAAAAATTATATCTGCCATTTGGGGGGGGGAAAACAAAAAAAAAAAAAAAAAAAAAAGGTAGGGGGGGGGGGAGACCTTTTGTATAAAAAATTCAAAATCTTTTTTTCCTTTCTAAATGATGAATCTATTTTTTTATTTGTTGAAATGTCACCTGTACCAAGCATACTTAGATCAAAGCATATAAGAATGATTTGAATCGTGACTTAATGTACTAAAATTCAAGAATTATCATTGAATCTGAAAAATGTAGAGATAGTTAAAAATTATCAATATTTTCAAACGTTATAATAGAAAAGCAACCGACACCGAGGCTATATGATTTGTAGAGGGCTACCCCAGTATAATCAGACTCTCCGAGGTGTTTTGTTTGTCTTTCTCTTTTGTATCATTTATCAAACATAAAAGCACGTTCCCTGTTGTCACAATATAGAAACCCCGGCAAAAATGAACCAATGAACGAACATCTGAATATGACATTTCAGTCGCTTTCCCTTTCTCTGCCGTCACAATATGTAAACCCAGCAAAAATGAGCCATCAATGGCATGCTCTGGAGTGCGGGTAACGCGGGGTAACTAATACCTGCCACTCCAGTTTAACGCACTGTGCATGTATATGTATACGATTTAACCCTGACACATTTTTTAACAGAAAGGTCTCCAAACTATGATACAAATAAAAGAAACAGTTCGCTGTATCAATGATAACCATTTCCTCTGACTGTATCATATATATTTTAGATATATTATGATAAATAAGAATTGAATTTGTAATAGACTTATTTCATGTATATCATGCTATTGATGTTATGTAACTGCTGATTGTATTATTACTGTATACTGATAGGCATACTGCCTTTGTATTAATAAAGTTTATCTTATCTTATCTTCTTATTATTATAGTTTCAAGTGTCTGGGCCCTAATAAATGCCGTTATTATTTGTTTGGGTCGTCGGACCAAATAAATAATGGTAGCAAAATTTCAGACCCTGAAAGGCTTATTTGCAAAAATCATCGACAGTTTTTCGAACCCCCTCGAAACGGTTACTTCCCTTTATAAGTGCACTAACGCCGAAAAATTAATTGGAGATCACTATATCGATTGCCAAATGACAGGCGCATTAATTTTCAAGCCTTCCCGCGGAACAAAAATATAGTTGCCCGATTGTCATTGTGTAATTTTTTCACATTAATACTAGTACATCCTTATATCAAGCTCCATTAATATTTACATCATGTTAAACAACAGTTTACCTGAAAACAAAATATCTCGAAAATATAATAAGGGGTTACAAACCCTAAATTTAGAATTGCGTTTTCTTCAGGCTCGCTGTTTTATAATTCCCCCCCGTGATCGAGGGGTTACACACTCAAGGAAGCCGAGAGGTCTGGAGTTCAAATCCCTGTTGTGGCAATTCACTTTTTTAATTCTTTTTTTTTTTTTAATTTGTTTAAGCCAGATAAACATTGAATTGAATATCTGTGTTGCAATTAGCCCTATAGCCAATTTACTACAGTTATAACACTGGAAACAGCATTTCTTGCACTATTCAAAAACAAATTGGTTTATAATCTCACAACATTCATCTATCTGACATCCGAGACCCAAACAAATTCAGCGCCTTTTGTGCTTTGATTATATATATAGTCAATGTAGTCATGGAAATATTCAGATTTGTTTATTTGTTACGTATTTTGTACGCTGTGTTTTCATTCAATTCATTGTGGGCTATTGTGTATGGAGAGAGATTTACAGGCTAACCTTACTTTGTTTTCATATTTCACTGCGTCATTAACGATAAAAGTAAGTTATTACGTGAGATATAGACACACACGGTAGGTTCATTTCATCGATCAATCATTCAATGTGATTTACAATGTTTTAGTTATAGGTCGTTGACTTCAAACCACTTGCCCCTCACCGCTGTAGGTTCGATTCCCGACAGGGACTTTGGATTGTTTCATGTGAGGAAGCTATCCAGCTAGCTTACGGAACGTCGGTGGTTCTACTCAGGTGCCCATTCGTGCCTGAAACAATGACGGAAGGGCATATAACCTGTCAACAATCTTTATAACGAATTTATAATACAGCAAGCATCATTTTTAGAGGAAAAAAGTAAGATTTCAGCAGCCGTGTTTATAAAACTATATAAACGTCACGATTATTCAATGAAAAATGCCGTTACAAACGTGCAGTATTATCAATCATTTTGTTTCAAACACATAAATGAAATATTTATCTTATGTATACATGTACCATATCACACGCCGGCCTTGAGGCCGGCGTGTGATTAGACCCGTGCCCTTAAAGAGAGTAGAAAGCGAAACTTAACTTATATAATTTTAGTAGGATTAGCAAAATATTTTGATATCATGTTGGATGTTGCTTTTTTTTAGGTTTGGCCTTAAAATATTTCAATTGTTTTCAAATGTGTGTAATAAGTAAAAACGCAGACCACGCCTCTCAACAACACCTTCGCCTGTGCATAGAAGGTGCGCAAAGGATCTTGTAAAACAGTCAATATTTACGAACTGGACTATAGCATATGTTATGATTCATTTGAAATATTGCAATGATAATATTAAACACTAACTTAAATGCCAACCGAATGAAGTGAACACAAAAATAAAAGTATTCGTCAATGTTTGTCATTTATCAATAAATGACAATATTTTTACTTAAATGCGTTTTGTTTTTATCAAAATTCAAAGTAAGAAAAACTCGTGTTTATATACATTCATAACAGATTCATTTTTACATTAACATCCCTTTCCTTGGCGGTCAAGAAACACACATGGGCCATGAAGATTAATTTCAACTCAGATTGGCCAATCGGAAACATTGGGAAATAAAGTAACAAACAGTGCTTATCTATTGATATGCTTACATTTCTGGCAGTTCAAATTAACAAATTATACTTTTTTTTATAGAGAAATATATTAATGTTTACAAAGGTTCTAAAACCAACACGCATTCCGTAACCCATTACAATTATCACAGGTCGATTTATTTGTTATGTTAAGTGTTCATTTTTCTGTGCACTGTTTGTCATTTCGACCTTCGACCATTATACTGTGTTGATGCGATAGAAAAGCTTGGAAAAAGTAACATTTCTTCTATGCTACTATAAAGGGTATCTTCTTTAGAACTAAGATAATTATTGTTCATTTTCATCACACTCATCATGTTTGACAGGTCCATATCTCATGCATGTTTCAATAGTTGTTTACTACTATTTGCACTAAGAATATTGCTTCATGATCTTAGTCTTATTAATTTTTGTTACTGAAGAGACTAACCTCAGATTTAAAAATGTCTTTTCAGAGTTTTTGTTAGAGCATAGAAATTTCTGTTTTACTTTCATTAACATGGGCACATTTATGTTATGTGGTGACCAAATGTTGAATATTTTAGTTTTTCTTAATTGATACTGATACATAAATATATTTATATTATAAATGATTTGTTTTATAATTTTGTCTTCCTTTACTACATCCAGTATTTACTTAGTTGTGCAAGCTGTCTCTTCTGAAAGCTATATTTGTCTTTTTCTTTAAAACAAGTAGCATGAGTAGGTCTGCTCAGCAATAGTGTTGAATTTTCTAGCTTACTTAATTAACTATGCAGCTCTCGGAAAAGTTGAGCATGCTTTCCGCGAACATTTTTTGTTATAAATCATCAAATAATTTGATCAACAATAACGGGTAATAGCTCTAGCAATCCACACAAAAGCTGTACATGTATGTGAATTTAATTTTGGAGGCCATACCGACAAAGATTTTAAGCTGAGACGACTTGCTACGCCGCAAGTTAATGCAACAAAAGCAACCCATGGATGTGGCCGCTTATGCCC